TATATATATATATATATATATATATATATATATATATATATATATATGAACAACTGAAGTCCTCAAGTCCCCCGCCCCTTGTTAGACCCAAAGTTATGCCATTGTACTCGAGTCAAACACAGACTGAGCCCCTGCAGCTTATGATGCCATCTGAGTATGAGCTTTAAAATCAGTTACATTTTACTATCTCTAAATGCTTTAAAAGTACAGCAGTGTGTCAAAATGACTTTGATGCTGAATTTGAGGTGATAAGAAAAGTGTTTGCAGTTGCACTCAGTGAAGGAAAACAAACCTACCAGATGCTGTGACATTCCTTTGGTATTTTTTCTCTGCTCTGTTTTTCAGGACTTGTAGAGCAGAGTGGAAAACCTCTCCAGCCCTGGAAATCTCCTGAGATTCAGTGTGTGAATTAAACCTGAAGCTGAGCCTGGAGTGCAGGGAAGTCGTCCGTCTGTGAAAAGAAGTTGGTCGATTTAAGAACTTGCTTCAGCCTAAACTTCCTGCTGATTAATCTCTAGTCTATCAGAGTGAGGGTACCTCTGTCCGCCGTTATTCACTGTCCAAAGGCGCTCTTGGAATGATGAGATGAGTAGTTCTCTGAAGGAAGAGGCTGGAACAAAAGACAGAACCCAACCATTGTTCTATCACAGCTTCAGGCGGACTGAGATCAGAACTTTGGACTTCCTTGGTTTTTGTCACTCATTACCTAAACCTGAGCTTTGTTTTCCACCCTGGAACAGGCAGCTTGAGTTGGAGATAATTTTTTAAACCTTTGAAACATCCATCCATCCATTTTCCGTCATGCTTATCCCAAGCGGGGCCACAAGGGATGCTGGTGCCTATCTCCAGCTGTCTAGAGCCAATGTTTTTGTGACCTTGGGAAGAAGCCGGAGTACCTGGAGAGAACCCAGGCATGCTCAAGGAGAACATGCAAACTCCATGCAGAAAGACCCTGGACCGGGAATCAAACCCAGAACCTTTTTGCTGCAGGCAGCAGTGCTACCCACTGCATCACTGACCTTTGAAACGTCAATGTTCATACTGATGTTTGTATTAAAGTTCGTACTAAAGTTCGCACTAAAGTTCATACTGATGTTCGTTCTGATTGTAGTACTGATGTTCGTTCTGATTGTAGTACTGATGTTCGTT